TTCACATTGTAAAACCTTACACCACCCTGTACAGAGTTTGAAAATTTGAATATACTACCTTTTGGGATATTACCGTATTTACTCAAGTACCATGCGCACCTTTTTTCTCAAATTTCAGAAGAAAAAAAGGGGTGTGTGTCATAAGCAGGTACAAAATTTTCAAGAACTTTTAGAATGTTCTAATGCATTATACTTAATCATAATGGAGAAACTTGGAAAAAATGACAAGAACACTTTTCTGTACTGAAAAAGTTGCAAATTGGTCAGATTTTTGTTAAATTCCTGTCTAAAGTCAAATTTTTTGTTTCAATTTTTGAAATTTGTTGGTTTTAGATTTACTACAAATTGGGGTGTGAGTCATACTCACGGATAAGATGTTAGCCAAATTTCCAACTGAAAAATCCCTGTGCGTGTCTTACTTGAGGGCGCGTGGTACTCAAGTAAATACAATATCTAAATTCACTGTCAATAGTTTGAATGCATTTTTAAAAATATAATAATTGGAATGGAGATCTCAAGGAGAAACTGATACCTGTTCAGTTCATTACAGTAAAAGAAGATTATAGCTATGGTCCATCCATAGATTGGATATATTGTCTTCCTTTGACTCAGATTTCTCAGAAGAGTCAAAACAGTGTTATGGAAGTATGCTTTTATGAAATACAGTTCTTCAACGACAGGTAAATATGTCTTGGGACTTCGAAGATGAACAGCAATCATAACACTGCAATTTCACCAACATCTCATCATTTATTCAACAAATCAACAATAACACAGCTAATAACATTGAAATCTGCAACCCTTGCATAGGTTTTCAAACTTTCACTGGGGAGCTTTTGCTTTAAAATTACTAAAATTTCATACAACGATGCAATCTCATTGTTGAGGAAGCATAGAGAACACACTATAAAGCTCATGTTCAAGCATTTAAATTTAGCAGCAGTGCAGCAAATATAGTCCATCAGCAACTTTTTCCCCTTTACTCATCAAGCACTGGTTTTGTATTTCTTGAAAGCTGTTAAAATATTCAATATATGCTGTGTTTAGATTTGTTTTTCATCAAAATTTTCAAAATATGTTCCAGGATGCATGGCTTGATTTCAATGCAATTTCGTTCTCTTTTTCCTGTTGATATTTGCCTTCTTGATCCAAAGGGCAGTTGGGTAAGAACCATCACCTTGTTCTGGCAATTTCATTGGTGGCAACTTGGCGTCACTCACTGGAGCAGTTTTTGGGATAGTCTTCTTTGGTTTCATGGCTTGAGGAAGCTTGTGAGCAGTGACATCTGTTGGTGCACTTGCTAAAGATACAGAAAAAAATGAGGAATCTTACAAAGGATTTGTAAATTTCCATTTATGAAATTCAATTCCATGATCATGTCAAGATGCACTTTCATGTCAAGCAATTATTTGAATAAAGAACTCCTCACAGGTTATGTATGACCATTTGGAAATATTGCCTAGTTTAGCCCAAAATCTGAACTGCATCTACCATAGACTGATAAACTAATTTGTAAATTAGAAATTAGAAAAATAATTAGTGGTATATAACAGATAGCTGTACATATTAGTCATGATTTCAGAACACAATTTCAACCAAAATATTGAAGCATGAAATGTTGTTCTTTACAGCAAGGTGAGAAAATAATTTACTTCATTATTCACATTTTTATATAGGTTGGAGATTCCTTTCTTACAATTGAAAGGTCAAAATATTGTCAAATATTTGGAATTTGATCTTGATCCTCAAACTGGGCTCACTGCTGGTATACTTGTCTTATTTTTCATTAATGGTAAAAGCCTTCAAAACATGGAAAAAATGTTTTTTCTGCATTCTTTTGACACAATTTGCATATTTTAGACTATTTGTGAGGTTAAACATTTATTCTGATGCATTTCTGATGCTAGAATGCCTTCAGGAAATTAATACAGGTGACTCTTGCTACAAAAATCTTGTCTACAACAAATTTCTCAGTATAAAAAATTCTTTTTTTGGTCATGGCAGAATGACTTAGAGTACTTAGACCATGATGATAAAGCACTCTGTCCAGACTCTACAACAAACCTATTTTCTTTCCCACTCTCTCTAAAACAATTTTTTTTCTGACTAACAGGAGTGGTGATATACATTACATCTCCACATTACAGAGGTACTGTACATGCATTTTTGGATACTTATCTCCAAAATTCTGTAGATTGTTTGTAAAAGCCAAAACTCTATGATCATCCCCAAGCCCATGAACCAAGTACAGTAATTTGTCAAGATTCTCCTGGTAATGATGGGTGAAGTTGAAAAGCTTTAGGGGCATCTTAAAACCTTGCTCATGAAAATGTTCTTCATACTACACTGACTCAAATTTTCAAAAATAAAGCATTTGAAATTGAAAGTTGAGAGTAATGTTAAACATGACGATGCTTAAAAATAATTTCAAGAGTGTGTACTTCAATGAATCAACATTTTGAACATTTTATATTTCCTGAAGAAAATCCAGGAATATTCATTCAAAATTAAATTCGAAGTTGAGCGTCAAGGGCATTATTGTGATGAAGAAAAAGTTTGAAATCTTTCCAATCAAATTAGGCTTCATCAGTGGAACACAAAAATTTAAATAAAATTCCTCTGTTTTAAATTTTTTTTTCTCGAAAATGCCAACCTGGAACAGTTTTCACTTCGGTTTCTTCAAATTGCACCGCAGGGAGACTGGGAAGCTTGACACGATCGAATTCCGGAGATGACTCGTCCCGATGAACATCTTCCTTGGCAATCATCAAACTCATGTAAATATTCGGCAGTGTGTGAATATTCAGCTGAATCCCTTTGCCCCCAGCTGCTTTCTGCACTGACAAATCCATCCCGAATTCCTTGTCATCCAAAATATTGATGGCTGGCAAAGCATGACTGTGCTCATGATGGTTCTTTCTACTGGTCGTCATCGTCGTATTCGACATCGTCACTCGATGATGGTTATTATTATCCAGAATAGGGAAGTTCTGCGACGTTCTGCTCGACGAAAGTCGATTCAAACCCAGGCTTCCTCGTCTCCTGGAAAACTTGATCTCGTAAACATCTTCTATCGAGTCCTCGGCACTGATGGGGGAATATTTCGTGGGGGACCCATTCATGGAGGAATTGAGGGACTGTTGGGACTCGTCCTCCATGTCCCAGGTGGACCCGGAATTCAGGTCCTCTGGGATCTGGTCCAACAAAGACACACTTCCGGAAGCATCATCGTCATCACCACGACGTTGATACAAGGACTGATGGTCAAAGACCAAGGTTTCTGTTCGCAAACAAGAAGTGAGTATCATTATTACATTCAAACTTCTCTTAGTCAAACTTCATGGGACCATCAGAATAATTCCACTCGTGGGGAGATTTTGACTTGGGGAGGTTTTGAATTGAGCAACAATAAAAATCCCTTTTGTCCTGGGAACCATAGAAAAATTGTAAATTGTGATACTCTGAGGCTTAAATTACTTCTTAACCCTTGAGCAGCAAAGTTGGACTATTTTTGCAAAATTTTGTTGCACCTCAGAGAAGAAAAGAAAAAAATGAAAACAGGGAAGTTGGTAGAAATCCCCGTGAGTTTTCTTTTTGCTCAGAAAAATTTTGCAGGAA